CAGCTCCTCTCCAGGGAACCTAGAGCCCACAATCCATGCTCCCCACACTTTCCAGACTTGAAAGAAAGGCCTTTGTTTTCTCTTAATGTCCTAGTAAAGCTCTTTCAGAAAAATTCCAACCTTGTCTTTGCTGAACTCAGAGAAAGGAATGTGTGGTCGCCCCTGCCAGGAAAGCTTAGGGGATCAGAGCAGGGGTGTGGGGTGTGGTGGGGGGTGGGGAGAATCCCTCTACTCCGGCTGGACCCCAGATGTGCTCACTCACATCACCTGCATGGTCCTCCCAACTGAGCCTCCTTCGGAAGGAAGTCCCTTGTTATCCTGTTCTACAGATGAGAGGACTGAAGTGGAAAGGGGAGCCAACACCCCAGGTCACTGGCTGTGGGGGTGGAGCTGGGACCTGCGCTCAAGCTTGCAACTCCCACTCCCTCCTGTGAGAGGAGGACTAGGTGGAAGCCCTGGAGTGTGGCCAAGCCATGGGCCCCCTCTAATCTCAGGACATGTCTGTTAACCATAATAGTGACAACAACAGCCACAGGGGCCGCTGACGTTAGCTGAATGTTCTGCAGGGGCCATGCACTGTGCTAATGCTGTCCTTGCATGGTCTCCTGTCATTAGGAAACCAAGACTTCTGGCCTCGTGACATTCCTAGTAAAGGGCAGAGTCAGGAAGTGAACTCTGTTGCTTGACCCTGGCTCATGATCACACATTGTCCTTCTAGGGGGTGGCCCCTTGCCTCCACTAACTAGGGTCACCTGGACCTGAGCTGGTTGCCAGATCCCACGCACCTTTATTACCACCCTCTGCACTGCAGCTGGCATATTCAGACCCTGCCTCCACTCTACAGACCCACCTCTAGGTGAGGCCCGGCCATTGTTTTACCTCTGCCACATGGGGACCTAAACCCTGCTCACCCCACCCCTAGCAGATAGAGCACAAATTTGCCACAGTTGGAGCCACAGACAGAAAAATCACTGTGCTGGTAACCAGTGCCTTGCTGGGTCTGGCTACTGACACTTTCCTGGCTGTTTAGGGGGCCTCTTCCGGGTTCTCACAGCTGAGAGTTCAGGGGCCCAGGCCTGATGAGCAGCTGACCCAGAAAAGGGTACCCTGAGGACTGGTGAAACCCTGCGTTTGTTGGAATGCAGATTCACATGGCCCCAAGTGCTAGAATGGTATCTGGGAACTTGACTGGCACAGATGTGAATTGATGCTTGACCAAGTACAAGACCTGCAACCTCTGTTCTTGGCAGGCTCCTGGGAACCTGAGGCTCACCCTGAAGAGGAAGCCACTTTCCAGCCGTCAGCAATGTCTGGATCCCTCCTTCTGGCATCTGACAGGGCAAGGCCTTCATTCAGCAGAATCTGAGCACTTTACTATGCACCTAGCCTAGTGATGAGAAAGATGGGATGGAGGGGCACCTGGGTGGTGGTTGGTTAAGCGCACGACTCTTGGTTTCTGGTCAGGTTATGATCTCAGGATTGTGATCTCAGGGTCATGATCTCAGGGTTATGAGATCAAGACCTGCATCAGGCTCTGTGCTCAGTGCAGAGTCTGCTTGAGATTCTCTCTCCTTCTCCCTCTGCTCCTCCTGCTCATGTTCTCTCTTTCTCTCAAAATAAATAAATCTTTTATTTTATTTTAAAGATGGGTTAGAGAGACACCTTCCCTGTCCTGGAGGAAGTGCTGCCACCAGAGGACATGGATCTGTGAACAACAGCCTCCAGTGGCCACAGGGTGCTCGTTCACACTGACTGTTTGTGGGTGGGGTTACACAGTCTTAAGGAGCCTGATGGCCTGGCTTTAACTCCTAGATCCATAATTTATGAAATGTGGTGCCATGGGCCAGGGCCCAGGGACCTGTCCCTTGGTTTCCCCATCTGTACAAATGGGACAAGAAAGGTGCTAACCTCAGGGTTGTTGTGAGGATTGAATGAATTAATATGGGCCAACTGCTTAGAGCCATCTGGCACAGGGCAAGTATGCAGTAAGTGGTAGCGATGATTGTTATGTCACTGCTTCTCGCACAATTGTCTCTCTGGCTAGCTTCCATGTGTTTAGAGGACATGGATGGTAGCTTTCATTCCTTATCTCTGATTTCCCAGGGTCCAGCTGTACAGCAAGTCACCCATACATCTGGGAACTTCCTTATAGATACTGAGGCATCTTTGATTCTCCCCCCAGGTTCCATGGATTCTGACTCCTGAAAACTCTGGTGTCTATTCCCACTGTTCCTTCCAGTTATTATCTTTTCCCTGGATCCCTGTGGGAGCCTGCTAACTGGTCTCCCTGCCCTGGGACTAGAACTCTCCAAAGCCACTCTCTGTCCTGCAGAGTGACCATCCCTGGAGGGTGACCTGAACGTACCACTCCTACTCAACACCATTCAATGGCTCTCTGTTTTCTCAGAACAGAGGCAACACCCTCGCCTTAGCATCCAAGCCAGGTCCTCTTCTCCAGCCCCATGTCTGGTGGCCTCCATAACCCATGGCTTCGCCCCTCCAGCCTTCAACTGTCTCTTGAAATCCTGACTGTTTTGTTCTCATCCTGCTCCTGCACATTTGACTCCCCATGCTGTGGCTTTGGCCTGGGGCACACTTGCCCACTTCAACCTGTCTGCTTACTCTCTCCCTTGTCACACCCAGTGGAGTGTTGCTGATTCCAGCTGGCCATCTTGGATCCCCCTCCAGGCTGGTTAGATGCTCCTACTCTGGGCTCCCAGAGCACTCTGAGTGTATAAAGCTCATATCCATTCACTCCACAAATACTTATTTCACAGAGTGCCTCCTCTGGGCCAGTCACTGTTCCAACTGCTGGGGATCCCTGCCTCAAGAAGCTGCCAGTGGTCCTGGAGTGGTGGCTCTGTCTCCTCATTAGAGGTGAGTTCCTGCAGGGCAGGCAGGGAGCCGGTGGACTTTGCCTCTGTGTCCTCAGTAGTATGCATGTGGTTGTTAGTAAATGTTTGTTTGATGCTTTTGGGGCACTGAGCTTGGCACTGGAGAGAAAGAGTAGCTATGACAGGGAGGAAATATAATCTAGGGGATATGAGAACAAGTGTAATAGTTAGGAGCATGGCTCTGGGGCCAGGTACCTGAGTTCAGATCCCGAATCTGCCGCATTATTATTGGTGTGAACTTGAACAGGCTCCTTAACCTCCATGCTTCGATTTTCCCATCTGAAAACTGAGCTTATGATACCAACTACCTTATAGTGTTGTCAGCAAGGTTAAAATTGTTAATATTTATAAAGTGCTTAGAACAGTACGTGGCACATAGTACATGCTTTATATAGAAATAAATTATCTATTAAACACACGAAAAACAGGTATAGAGACTAGGAACATAGATAATCTTGGATTCAAATCCTACCTCTGCCAGGTCCTAAGCATGTGTAATCGTGGGAAAGGCTCTATATGCCACCTCCTGGGATTCCAAGAGCCCCCGCACACAGCTTGTCTGGCACAGGACTGGCACAGGGTAAGCTCTTTGAAATATAGCTCTCCTAATGAGGCAAAAGCAACATACTGCCCCTGAGGGACCCATGGGGCCTGAGGGGACAATGAAAACACTGGCCTCTGTTCCCTGCTTAGATGCCCTACCCTCCGGGAAGCCTCCCTGGAATCCCATGGTTCCTCCCTTCCCTGCTTCCTCCTTTCAATGGCCAGAAGCCCGTATCCCTCCATGCCTCTTGTGGGTGTTTGCTTTAATCCTAGTTCCTTTTTTTTTTTTTTAAGATTTTATCCATTTATTTGAGGGAGAGAGGGTGAGAGCACGCAAGCAGGGGGTAGGGGCAAAAGGAGAAGTAGACTTCCTGCTGAGCAGGGAGACTGATGTGGGGGCTCCATCCCAGGACCCCAGGATCATGACCTGAGCCAAAGGCAGATGCTTCACTGACTAGCCACCCAGGTGCCCCAAATCCCAGTTCTAAAACTGACCTGCGTGTGTGATACTGGACTCTCACTTCCCTTCTCTGAGTTTTGGTCTTTTGGATGCATAAAAGGAGATAATATCACGGTGAGAATCACAATGTGTACAAAACACCAAAATGTGCCTGGCAGTTTGCAGATCCTCCATAAATGCCCGTTCCTATTTCCTCTCCCTCCTCCTACCATGGTCCCCTGACTGGCCTGTCACAGTTTGTTCGAGGGTCACATTTGCCTCTGTCATTCCTGGGGATGGCAGGTGGAAGAATCAGAGAGTCAGCAAAGGGCTGAATGAATGGCAGGTAAACCCTTGAGTAACTGGGAGTTTTGGGGGTCTGCTCGGGCACTTTTCCACACACCTTGTACACTGTCTGATCCCTGCTCCGCACAGCCTCCCATCTTGGGACAGGATGGAATTTCCTTCTTTCTCCTTGTTGCCTGGCTAACTCCTTTTTTTTTTTTTTTAAGATTTTATTTATTTGCTAGAGAAAGAGAGAGAGTGAGTGAGTACACCAGCATGAGGAGGGAGAAGCAGACTCCCCGCTGAGCAGGGAGCAGGGATCCCATTACTCCAGGATCATGACCTGAGCCGAAGGCAGATGCTTAATCGATGGAGCCACTCAGGTGCCCCCTGGCTAACTCTTGAAAGACATTCTTATCTCAGCCTGAGGGTCACTTCTTCGGGATGCATCCTCCCAGGCCTGCCACTGACCCCTGCGCCCAGCCCTAAGGACTTTGACGTTGTAATTTTACATTTCTTTATATGGTACTTTCATCAGTTAACGTTCCCTCGCAGGGCTGTGGACCCTGTGGTGGCAGGGACAGAGCATTTTTGTATCCTTATCGCTTAGCACCATGCTTGGCACAGTGTTGAAGAAATGCTTGCAACTCTGTGAAGAAGTCTAACTTTCGGGTTTGTCTGCATCTGCACCAAGTCCTTCCTCTTGGCCTGTCTAGTGCCCTGCTCTCTAGTCCCAGTCCTCGAGAGACTAGAGCCCAGCCTGTCCCCCTGCCCCCGAGCATGGCAGGGTATGGGGGTGCGTCTGGGGGTGGAGGAAGAAGGGGTGTCTTTGGGCATACCTCAGTCACGATGGAGCTCGTGGTGCTGAGGTCATAGACCCAGCCATCCAGGCATGGCTCGGTGGCCCCCTGGGTGTTGTTGGGCAGGCTGGCATTGGGCAGATGTATGAAACGGAGGCACATCTCAGGCTTCCCATTCCGGTCCTTGGGAAGCACCCAGGGCCCCTCGGAGGCGTTGGGGGGTTGGCGGCAGTGGTGGGCAGGCGTGGTAGCTGTGAAGATCTGCAGCAGGTTGTGGTTGGCCAGGTTGAGGACTGGGAGGCCTAGCAAGACCAGGTTCAGGAACTGGAAGGGGCCCTTGCTGCCCACACGGTCCATGAGCTCAGAGAAGGCCATGGCACTAGGCAGGATGAGCCAGAGCTGCAGGCAGGGCACCTGGCCAGGGAGAAGTAAGTAGGCATGTGGGTCCTGTGTGGGTGTTTGTGGATAGGTGTGGAAGTGCAGTGGGATGGTGTGCCAGGTGTATGCGTGAGCACCGGTGTGTAGAACAGTGTGTGTATAAATGTGCACAGGTAGGGGCTTGGGTGCGTGTGTCCGTAGATTTATGCAGATACATGAAGACACAGCCAGTGGCGTTTAGGGGCATGGGCCACAGGTGTGTTTAGATGTGTGTGCACAGGGGTGTGTCTACAGTGATGTGTATCTTGAGACTGGAGTGTAAGGTGCAGCTGTGCGAGCTTGGGTATGTGCTGTGTGTGTGTGTGTGTGTGTGTGTGTCTGTGAGGATGCATGTGCTCAGAGAGGCTGGTCACACATGCCGCATGCATGGGGTGGTACAGTCCCCACAGCTGGGACCAAGGGTCGTGGACACTGGCAACAGGGGCCGGATGGTGGGGGGAGGTGGGGAGGTCCCTGCTCCCCCTGAGCCAACACACAGTGTTAGCGGAGCCCAGCAGAGCCTGCTGCAAAAGTCTCCCCCAAGCCTGGAGTCTCCTGGCTTTTGGCTGTCCTCTGGGGCTGGGTCCACTAGGCTGGGGCAGCAGAAAGGGCCCAGGCAGGTCCCAAAGCACATAAGGGACTTGGCCAGTTGCAGTAAGGAAGCAAGGCCTGATCTTGGGGGCTTCTCAGGGGCCTATTGGGGCTGGGGCTTGGCGGGGGTGGGGGGCGTCCCCATTTCTCCTTACCTGGTAGTTGGGCCTGGCTTCCTCCGCTGGGGCTGGCAGTGGAATGTGGCTGAAGCCCTTTGACTGTCCCAACAGTCTGGTCGCTGCTGTAGTTGGGGAGCTCGGCGCCAACAAGCTGTGCTTCTGCCTTCCCCGGGGGGACTTATATAAGGCATAAGTTGTTTCCCAGGCTAATGTTTGACTTTCTTTTGAGAATTAATGGTGCTGGCAAGGGAGGGTGCTGGAGACCCACCGAGCTTGGCTTTCGTCAAAGAGCTGCCTCAGCAAAGGCTGGGGAGGTGGTGTGGCTGAGCCTAGCAGGGCTGCTGGCCACACAGGGGTAGGTGGCCAAGGCAAGCTGGCCAGAGGGGGGTCAGGGAGGGGTCCGATCTGGGTCCTGAGGACCCAGGGTCTTCTTTGTGCACCTGGTATGTGGGCCACTGATAGGGGTGCTGTGCAGGCATCACTTCCCCTGCCTGCTGCCTCCTGAGAAGCAGCCTGGAGCCTCGTCTCCCAGGAAATGGTAAGGCACGTCCAGCAGAAAATGTCACCAGGTCTGGCCCTGCAGGCTCCGGGCTTTCATCTGCCGGGCTCCTGGGCAGCCAGGGATCCCCTGCCTGAATCTCAGGCTCTGCAGAACAGCACCCTTCCACCCGCGCTCTCCATGGACAGGCTCCTCTTCTGATCAGTTGCTTCCCTTTGGGGACAAATCATTGTCCCTAGTGTTTTGTTCTTTTCTCTGAATGATTTTAATTATAGAACAATGTTTTTCTTCCAGAAAACATAGGAAATACAAATAAGCCGAGCACAGCAAATTATCCAGCCTCACCTGAGAGCTAACCCTGCGTATGTTCTGATGTATGTTAGTCCAGACCTGTCCTCATCAGGGACTATGGTCTAACCCCCATTTTTTGACAGCCAACAGGAGGCTCGTTTAACCTCACAGCAGCCCTGTGACTATCCTAAACATTGTAAATTAGGAGAGTAAGGAACAGAGAGGTTAAGTGACTTGCTCACAGTCTCCCAGCCAGGAAATATCAGGGCAGCAGCAGTGGGGAGCCAACATCTTCTGCAAAGTCTGTGGGGCCATTGTGCTAGCCTGCATCTCCCCCCTCAGCATCACTCCTGCCTGCCTATAGCTCTCTGGTTCTACCTGCAGGGACTCTGGGGAGCAGCCCCATCCTATCTGCTCTGGGGGCCACTGAGGGGCCCACCTAGGGCTCCCCTTCTTGGTTGGGGAGGGGGCTTCCCATTCTTCCCCTCAGCCCCCCCTCTCCATCCAGGCAGCATCCAGCTCCCTGGCTCAGGCAGGCCTCCTCCCCTCGAGACCTCTCCCAGCCCCTTACCACCACCCCCTCCAGGGCAGGGTCAGCCAGTAGGGCTCTGCTCCCCACCTGGGCCCAGCAGTAATTGATGTGCTCAGAGTGGCCTGAGGCAGGGCGAGATCCGGAATCATCAAAGGAAGATTAAATTATGCTCTGAAGCAGCCAAGGGGTTGTTTTAGGAAGGTTTTCGACTTGAGGCTTGTGGAGAGCTGAGTTGCTGCTGGAGCCCCCCTGTTCTGGGCATTCGCCCTCTGTGAGGTTTTCTGGCTCCTAATTGGGCCTGGGATATTGGTCTGTTCCTGTCCTAGTGGAGTGTTGTTTAAAGGAGCCTGGTGACTCCCCGTGGAGGCTGCTGGAGGTGAGCCAGAGGATAGACGTGTAAGCCAGGCCGGGGTGGCCTGGCCCCCAGCGGATGTGCTGGGATTCATGATATCTGAACCAAGGAGTTCTCTCCGCCAGGCCCAAGGGAATGGAGTCAGGCACTTGCTGTATGACCTTGGGCAAATCACCTCCCTCTGGGCCTCTCATTTCTCTTCATTAGTTAAGTGGCTTACACACACACACACACACACACACACACACACACGCGCGCGCGCGCACACACACGCACATTCCAGAAATCTTCTATTCAAATAGTATGCTGGGTTTGTAAGGTCAATCTATAAAGCAGATATGAGAGGAGGTGGTCTGGCTAAAGTGGGTACGAAGGTGGAAAGAAAGCTGCCCCTTCCTCACCCCTGCCCCCCAGCTCACCCTCCCCTTGGCATCCTCTGTCCCCCACTGCTCTGCCTGAGGCATCTCCATTATATTAGAGGATCTGTCACTTCTTCCTTGCTGCGATACTAAATCAAATATGTTGAAATTAAATTTTTTTTAAAGAAATGATACATCTGGGAAATCTTACATGCTAAATGCATTTTTAGTTTGGGATATGGAAATGTATTTTCTTCCTTCCTTCTCCCTTCTTGACTTTTCTCTCTAGTCCCTTCATCTTTTGTCTGAGCGCTCCCCTGTGTCCTTTTAGCTGCAATGGGCTTAATCAGTGGCCCCGTCCCTACTGGGCCCCAGCACAGGCATGTGTCTTCAGCTGGAAGGCCTAAGGAATCATCAAGCTCAAAACCAGTGTCCTGACCTTACATGCAGGGAGACCAAGGTTCAGTGAAGGAAGGAACACACTCCTGACCCTTGACTTCCCTGGCTCCCCTGCAGGGTGCCATCCTTCTAAATCTTCAGTTTGCTGAAGCAGAGGACGTGTCATGACAGGTAAAACAGGGGAATCTTATTCTGTGGGAGCAGCAGTGGGGAGTCTGGGCGTTCTGGCCAAGACCACACTGAACTTTCTGGGGGTTATCAACTCTCCCACCCACTCATCTCTTCATTTGTTTGTTCATCTCTCCCCCGCCTCCCTCCCTCCTTCTATCCCTCCTTCTCTCCCTCCCTCCCTTCCTCCCTTCCTCCTCCCTCCTTCCACCCATCCATTCCTCTCTCCCTCCACCCATCCTTCCCTCCATCCCCCCTCCCTCCATCTGTCCATCCATCCGTCCATCCATCTATTCCCTCTATCTACCCACCCCTCCATCCATCTAATGTGCCTCATGCCTTATATGTATGAAGCCCCATACTAGGAGCTAGGGTGCTTGCTCTACCCTTCAGTCTGCTTGACAGAGAAAATAGCAGCCCAGAAACAATTATAGCACAAAGGAGATTGGCCTCAATGACACAGGAGAGGTCCAGGACACAGTTTTAGTCCTTTCCAGAGAGTGAAGGAATGACTAGATTTGATGGATCAGATTATGGTGAACTTCCCAGAGAAAGTGGTGTTTTCTACGCTGGGTTTGGATGATTGGGAGGTAGAATCTGGGAGGGACCAGCAGCCCCAGGGGTATGATTATAGGCATGTTTGGAGAAATGGAAGGTAAGTTGGATAAACAGTGTGGACAGGACCTTTCTGCCTACTGTGGTGGTGGCCTTGGTTTCAGGGGCTGGGACATAGCTGTGATAGTCTCAGAGGGGCTGGTGATCCCCTGGGCTTCTCTGCCCCTGGGCACTGGGAGTGGGGAAGGTTTGTGGCTCACCAATGGAGTCATGCTCAGTAGTATCTAAACTCATTTTGTGAAGTGCAGATCTTTCGCACCTCATTAAGTGTCCATATAGTTGAGTGGGCCCTTGGAGACCTCCAGGTGCTGCTGCCTGCCTACCTGCCTCCTCACTGCCCTATCATGGGTTCAAGTCAGAAGCTGCGACAGGTATAGGGCCCGTCCTGCAGCTCAGACTATGGCCCTAGGTGGGGATAGAGAGATGCTCAGTAAGTTCCCAAGGGCCAAGAGCTATTCCTTAGGGGCCCCAGATTCAGTCCATGTCCTTGGATGGCTCTAAACAGAATACGTGGCCTGTACGAACCTGGACAAGGGATTGTCCTCTGCCTTCAGGCCCCTCTTTCCCCTCCATTTATTCTAAAATTTCCTTCACAGGAACCAGGCAGTTCAGGGAAGAGGGATCTTACATGTCTGAATTTGAATCTTGCTAGTTGTTTGGCCGTGGGCAGGTGGTGTCACCTGGTTAAGCTTTAGTTTTCCCGCTTGTAAAATGGGGATTAATACCCATCTTCTAGGATTGTTGGGATTTATAAATAAAGTACATAAAACCCTGAACACAGTGCCAAGCACACAGTATTTAATTTGAGGGTCAGCCCTGAGGGAACAAGCTTCAGGAAGCCCAAGGAGTTCCAGAAGAAGAGGAGGAAGAAGAGAAAAGGTTGCTAGAAGAAGAGAGCACAGGAGGGGTTGGCCTTTGGCCCTGAGGGTCGCAGGCTGGAAGGGCTTCCAGGTGGTGGAAGGGGGGCTCTTGAGGCTGTCCTTGGGCACCTGGAGTATGTCCTCACCCAGCCAGTCACTTCTGAGCCCGTCATGTTGCCAGGCAGGCTGGGCCTCAGCTGTCAGCCCAAGTAGGAAAGGGAAGGGACACTGGTCCCAGGATGACTAAGGGACTGTGCTTGAGTGACCGGAGACCCCAGCCCAGGCCAGCCCAGGCAGGCCAGGAATGGCCCTCTTCAGTAGCTTTGAAGAGACTAGGGGGTGGGGGGAGTCGCTCCCCACTGGCACACTTCAGGAACTGTATCTCTCACCTCCAGGAAGTGGCCAAGGTTCCCAGCCCACCTGCCACCTGAACCCAGCGCAGAGAATGGATGTATGTGGACCTGGAAACTCCTACACTGGACAGCTTCTCTAAGACCTTGAGGGAGGGGACCCCCTAGCTCCAGGCTGATGCAGCAGATGTCTCAGTCCCTGTGTCCCTGGCACTGCTTTCTGCTTATTACATGCCCGAAACCAGGGTTGGCCGGTACAGATGCCCACAGGGCCAGGTGATGTGAAAAAGTGGGGTGGGCTAGGTGTGGGCTGTGGTGAGTGGCTGGGTGCACGGAGAAGTGCAAGGCACATGTCCAGTCTGAAGGGGGCAGTGGTGCTCAGCACCAGCTGGTGTTGCCATGGGAATATGCAGGCTTGGGTTGCCAGAGCTTCAGATATTTTAAAAATAGCTTGAAATCTGGACTTTGTGAAATTTTCCAATTGTGTAGGCGACCCTTCTTCCCACCTTCTGGAATCCCTTTGTCTTTTCTGCTTCTACCACCTATTAGAGCCACAAACTCCCTCAAGTGATTCCTTGTAGAGCAAGGTAGGATTTCCTTGGGTTCATCCTCCCCTTACTCCTTGCTGGACCTCAGAATTTGGTGAGCAGGGCCTCCGGCTGTCTGTTCGTTCTGCAGACATTTCTCTAGCACCTGGTTTGTGCTGGGTCTT